CCTGGGGGCGAAGAGCCGGCCCGCCCCGTACCCCCTCCCCGGCATCCGCGGGCACGGCTACCACCATCACCACCACCACCATCATCATCACGTGAACGCGGCGGCGGCCGCCAACATGTACTCGCCGGCCGGGCCGCCCGCCAACTACGACTACGGGCCCCGGTAACGGCCCCGCCGAGCCGCCGCGGCGCGAGGACCGCCTGCCCCCCCCTTCCCGCCTTTCCCTCTCTTCCCGCCTTACGAGTGAGCTGATAGGCCAGCCTGACTGATCGACAGCCGTAGCGCCCAATCGCAGGAAGCCGGAAGCTCCCCTCACGCTCCCCACCCGTCGTGAGGGCGGCGGCGAGGGGCCGGGTGCTGCCGATGGCGGTGTGACCCGCAGCTGCACTTTGATAAATGAAGCCATATGTCGTTATCTCCCTTCTCCCTGCCCCCGCGCCTCCGTCCGTGCGGGTCCGCAGGAGCGCGCCGGGCACCGAGGGCCGTCGGGCCTCTGGGAAGCAGTGAGAGGACGAGGAAGCGGCCGCCATGATGTGATTTGCCGCCATGAGGTGATTTGCCCCCTTCCCGCTCACCCGCCCGGTCTCCTCATGGAGATCTGGTGATTTTGCCACCGTTTTTTTTCGCTGGGACGGGTGTTTCCCGGCCCAGCAGGACGGGAAACGTTAGCACCGAGCAGGGAGGGCGGTGGGGCTGTCGGTGAGCTCTGCCGGGCCCGGATTCTGCACATGTCGATATAAGTCTCTCTCTTACCTCGGGGACTCTTGGCCTCATTCACGGTTGGCTCAGGTAGTTCTTCGAGAAGACTGTCAAAGGAAGCAGAGTTTAGTTTAAGGGAACACTTTTGAATTTTCATGTCAGAACTCATTGTCCCCTTCTCCCCCAGCCCTGACCTGCTGCCTAGTGTTGGGGTTCATTGGGGCAGGTTAATCACAACAGGGTTTTCTGGAGCTGTTGAGGAGCCCGTGGCCGAGAGCACAGCCATCTTGTTTTCATAACAACGGATGCTAAAGTTTAAAAACCAGCGTGGGGGTGGGGGGATACCTGCAGAGTTTAGGCTGTGTATTCTCAGCAATAGTTTGTAAACTGGCTGCTGCCCAGCCCAGCACTGCCTCCCAACACCCTTCCCCGGGCTCTTGCTCTCCCCTTGAGAGGTGCCTTTTAGAGGAAGTTGAGGGGTTTTTCCCAGAATGCCTCACCCCCTATATCTGCACCCAAACTGCAGTGCCCCCAAAGCACCTGCTCTGCACCTACCTGCTTGCTGTATCTTCCCTCTTAGAGCTGGTAAGTACTTTTTTTTCCTTTTTCCTTTAACATCTTTCTTCAGGCAGTCTTTCCTTATTGTTCAAAAGATGGCCCAGTTCATCACAGTTTCTCCAGCCTTGTGTTTTGAGTAGTTGGCTTGTGGTTTTTGTCAGATGCTCCCCGAATGGCAGTTCAGAGAAGGTATTGAACAGCTCCTTGGCTGCGCTGGTATACAGTATTATGAACACTCCTGATTCTTCCATGTGACTCTATGAAAAGAAGGGGGTTATTTTTTTTTTTTTTTTAAGTCCTCTGTTTGTCCATGTTTGTGCATTTTCACTACAAACCTTTTAAAACATAATATTTCCCTTGTGCAGGTGGCAGTGTTAATAGCAATGTTTATTCTGTCTCTGGCCGTGGGCTTTGGGCTTCCAAAACTTTTTGGAAGGGTTTAAGAAGGGATACAGGCTAACATGAATATTTTATGTATATTTTTTTTTCTGTTATAAAAAATATATCTGGATCCATGAAAAAGACTTGTGCAAGAAATATGTATTTTATTTGATATTTGCAGTGAATTGTGAGATTCTTAGTGTCTGACTAAACCATAATTAATGTTCTCAGAAAGGTTGATGTAAAATATGTGCTTATTATTAGTCAGTGGGAAATGGCTCTCGGATGTGCTCTGTTGCTTTGCCGCTATTATTTCAGAGTTTTCAGTATGATTTGTTACCTGTAAACTGGTTAGTGCCAAAGCTTTGGTCAAACGTTTAATGAAGTTGTTATATTTATTATTTCTTTCAAAGATTATACAAACGTATTTTTTTTTCCCCTTGATAGTTGCAGTGTAGGAAAAAAGTGAAGATAACCAAAGAATCATATCTGGAAACAGTGTAGATACATGTAGATATTTGTAGATATATGTAGATAATCTTATTTCATTTAAATTGAAAAGTCATTGGACAGTGACATTTATAAATGTTTTTCCTCTTCTTTCTTTCTTTCATTTCTTGTTTGATTACTTGTGTGTATTTGTCAGTTTGTCTGCTCTGAAGTCTAAATATCCCCTGCAAAATGAGTTCACTTAAATAAGATAGGAATAGTAAACTGGAGCTGTTCGGTCTGAACAAACAGTGAGTCTGCACAGACAAATGCTCCTTCCCTTCTCTCTCCCTGGTTGCTGGAGCTGCCCATCTCTCCTTACGCGGCGGCTGGCAGGGTGGGGGTCCCAGGTTGAAATGGCTGCAGTACACTTCTGTTTGTGTTGGTTAGCACCCCTTTCCTCACACATACATGGAGTGCTGCAACAAGCATCGCTGGCTCTCAGTGCAGATTGGCCACACACCTTTTCAAACGTACTTCATGGCACAAGAGCTGAGAGGACTGCATGACCCCAGACACCAGGACTAAACCGTGCTCTTACAGAAAGTGGCTCAAGGTCCTTGCCTTGAATTGGAATGTAGGAATTTTAATTTATGTCCATTAGAAGAGAAAATCACAGAACTTCAACCTATGGCTGTGTGCCCTCAGGATCACTAGTCTGTCCTCTGCTGGAAGAATCACTACAGAAGTCCTGTGTCTGAATGGGAAGGAGACACCATGCAGCTGTATCAAGACTACAGTTTTAACTATGAAAATGGTATTTCTAACCTTGATTTTAGGCCATCAACATGCAAGGTGCTCATATATGGTAGTATTAATCATATTAGTAAGCATTTCATGTCATGTTTTAGTCCTTTAAATCAAGGTTCCTCGGGGCTTTGACTAGTGTTTCCTCCTTGTATCAGTATGTCTATCTCACCGGATGGGAGTGTTCCAGACATGGAAACCAAGCACGGTGATTTTTCTACCACAAAAAGATCCACTTCAAACAAGCAACCCCCCCCACAGCACTGCACGTTGGGTAGTAGAAGCCTTTTGAGAATCACAGAAAATCTGTAGCACTTTAATGTCACGTTACCTGT